GTAACATCAAGTGACATTTTTTCTGATGCTTTTTGGAAATTAGAACATAATAGGAGTAAAATTTTGATTCTAGAATTGGACCAAATGATAGGTGTCTAGGAAATGGACCTCTTATAATAATAACACACTTATGAAAAGAACTTCCAATGGAAGTCGATGAAGAAGGGATATTTTAAATGCGTTTTTTAAAATTACTTTCAGAATCCATCTGTCAGTACAAATATTGTCTCAGACTTCCTAGAAATAGAGTCATAAGGAGACTTTTAAGTATCCAGGACAAAATGTTAATTTGATATCTCACTTTAGCCAGCATCAGCATATTGGATGGTTAAATTACGTTGATCTTATTCTGGGAAATTATTTTAGGAGACATTAGGGTTTTTTTGTGATTTGCTATAATAACTACCATGTGCGGAACCATGGACTAGCATACCATGAAACTCCAAATTGCCTGTGCAGAGAGTAACGTGGTCTCATTTGTGGGCATATCAAATACTCATGAGGACATGAAGACTGAGACCATTCCATATATAACGGATGTCCTGATCTAGCCATGAAACAATGCTTAACCCCCTCTCTTAAACAATTTTCTTAGAAAAGACACTTGAGAGGGAGATTGATAGTCACCTTCACAAGAGGATAAAAACAATTATTTTCTTTTAGGATAAGCAAATCCACTGGAATTATTGTGGTCTTTCATGAAGATAATCTTGGAACTGTTGTTAAGGAACTCATTTTTCAAAGTGGTTTTACTGAAATTTCAGTGAAGGTGATTCTACAGTAGCATCAAAACAGCTACTCATCACCCTAGTAAATATTGATGTTAGCAAGTGTTTATGGCTTAGCACCAACAGGTCTAACTTCTGAGCTGAAAACCGAGAAGCAATAAGTACCAACGAGGTAACAAAGACACTTTCAGTGTCACTTACTGTGAGTTTGTTGTGAGGATCGCTGCCAAAGGAGTTCATGCCAATTGTCCAGGCAGTGAATGTACCAGGGTCAATTACCTCCTTAGTAACGGTAGTGACTGAGCTAATATTTCTGCTTCATACCAGGGAGATGGCAGCTGTGGGTGGAAGAGCTGGTGACAAAATACTAGACATGAGGGCAATAGAATGCAACTGTTTCCTAGACAAGTGCCAGCCTATCATCCTGCTAGGTTACTAAGACTGTAAAAGGAGAATTGATGCCTATTTGTTTAGATCAGTTTTACCAGAAAGGCTACTACTGTTCCTCAGAAGAAAACTGTTTTTCGCCATCAGAACAGAAAATAAATGCCACTAAAGTCACAAAAGTTCACAGTGGTAGAAGTAAATAGAAGGTATGCAAGAGAAAGGGGACTCACAGGTGGGACTTTCACCCTTCTGTTCAGAAGAGATGACGTTCAGAGGTTTTCATCAAGTTCAGTACGTTTATGCATGGAGCTTGGGGAAGAAACAAAAGTTGCAAGTCCATGTGCAGTCGGGGAGACTTGATGGGACAGCATGCACAACTAGAGCGTGTTCATAGGTAGGTAAAGAGGAGGGGGAGTTGTGCCCTATGTTCGTAGGTAGGTAAAGAGGAGGGGGAGTTGTGCCCTATGTTAAGGAGTTCCCTGGCTGTGGAAAACTGCAGTAACCAATGCTGTGCCTGTTTAAGAATCTCTGGATCTAGGTCAAGGGGAAGTGATATTGGGGATGTTTTGATGGGGGTCTGTTACAGGCCATCTGGCCGACCGTAGAAAATGAGGTTTTCAATGAACAAGTAGCTGAAGTCTCCCGCTTCTAGACCCTGGTCCTCTTGGGGCATTTCAGGGATGCAGACATCATTTGGGAGAGCAAAACATCAATGTGCATGCAATCCAGGAAGTTCCTAGGAAGCTGTCACCAGCAAAGTCTAATGCAGATACTAGAAGGGCCAACCAGTGGTAATGTGGTTACTTAACCTGCTCACAAACAGGGAAGAACTGCTGGTGAATATGGCTGCTGAGGTTGCAGTCCTCGCAAGAGTTCAAGGTCCGGAGGAAGGCTGGGAAGGTAAATAGCAGAGCTGTTTGGACTTTGAACTTTAAGAGAGCAAAATTCTGCTTACTTAGGGAATTATTAGGCAGAATTCCCTGGGAAGCTGCCACAAAGGGGAAAAGTATCCAGGAAAGCTGACTAATTATTATTATTATTTATTTTTTTTTTTTTTTAAGAAAGCTAATTGAGAGCTCAGCAACATTTAGGTGTGCAGTTAGTTAAACTGGGAATTTTAACAGGAGGCCTTTCCCACTTGGCTAGACAAGGAGCTTCTCTGTGAACGAAGGACAGTAAAAGGAGAGCGTATAAGAGGTGGAAACAAGGGTGGGCAGTAAAGGAAGTGTAGAAAAGCCCTTTATTCAGACACTTAGGAACAAAATCAAGAAGGCCAAAACCAAGCTGGAACTAAAACTGGGGACATACGAGGTAACAAGAAGAGGATTTTACAACTGTCCTAGTGGCAAAAAAAAAAAAAAAAAGTTCAGAGAGAATTTGGTTCGTTGATGGATGGGGGAGAAAACTTCATGATGGAAGACATGGAAAAGGCTGAGGTACGCAGTGTTTTCTTGCCTTGGTCTTCCTCCAAAAAGTTTGCTCCTAGCCCTCTACATAACACAACAAGTTTGGGGAAGGAGAAAGGCAGTCAGTAGTGAGGGAGTAGCAGGTTAGGAGGTTCATCCGGAGAAGCTGGATAAACACAAATCCATTGGGTCAACTGGGATTTACCTAAAAGTGCTGAAGGAGTTGCTGATGTGATTGTGAGGCTATTGCCCATCATTTATAAAACGTTACAGCAGTTGGAGGAGCTCCCTGACAACTGGAAGCATGCTAATATTGCACATGTCTTGAAGAAGGACAAGGAATAGAAGCCAGGGAACTGTGAGCTAATTGATCTTACCTCAGTCGCTGGAAAGATGTGGAGCACCTCTCCTTGGAATCCATGTCCAGCCATATAAAAGACTAGAAGGTAATTGGGAACAGTCCTCAGATATACTAATGGCAACCTAGGCTTGACCAACCTGATTCTGTTCTGTGCTGAGATGACTGGCTATGTGAACAAGGGGAAAGCAGTGGATGTAAAATACCTCAATTTTAGTAAGACTTCTGACGGCGTCTCCCACAGCCTTCTCTGTTCAAAGCCAAGGATGTATAGACTGGATAAACAGACTGCTAGATGGGCTAAGAAATGGCTGGACCACTGGGCTCTAAAGGTTGTAGTCAATGGCTTGACTTGTGGTCAGCAGCCAGTAACACGCAGAGCATCCCGCTGTCGGTACTGGGGTTGATAATGGCCTATACCTTCATCAGTCACCTGGGTGGTGAGACAGATTGTACTTTCAGCCAGCTTGCAGATGGTGATAAATTTGGAGGAGTGGCTGATACACAAAACCACTAGAATTTGAAGCCAGAAACTTGAGGATTTGGTCAATGGAAAATTGGACTGGACTCACAAGGCTAAGTGTAAAGGTTGCACCGGGGGGTGGTATATAGCCCCATTTACACACACATATGCATGGGTATATATTTCTATGTAAACTCCTGTGAATCAGTAGAAGCTGCAAGCCAATTCACTGAGTTCTAACCCCGCTGAGTTACACTGATGCCAGGAGAAGGAAAGGGAGCCCACAGTTTGCTCTCTTTGCAAATAACAAAACCACATACTTTGGAGAAATGTGGCCAGCAGATGTAGGGATGTTACGGTCTCTCTCTGTTAACACCTGTGAGGCAGCATCTGGAAGAGTGTCCAGTTTGTTGGGGGCCCCCAGTTCAAAAGGGATGTGGAAAAAATGGAGCGGGTCCAGAGAAGGACTGCCAAGATGGTCAGAGGTCTAGAGTACATGATCTGTGAAGAGAGGTTGAGCGAACAGGACTTGTTTAGCTTGGCAAAGATGATGTGAAAGGGTTAATAGTCTAGAGTTATGTGAGGAGGAGTTGCAAGGATGACCGAGACGACCGGTGTTCGGTACTGGCAGATAACCTAACAAGGGACAATGTCTGCAGACCCTGGTTTGGGAGGTTCAGGCTGGACTTTATGAAAATCACCTTTGTGAGGTCAGCGTTGCAGCACTGAAACTAGTTACCTGGAGAGGTGGTGGAGTTTCCATCTTTGTAGGTTTTCCAGGAGGCAGCTAGACAAAGCCAGACAGATCTGACCTCCTGCAGGCGATAGTCCTGCACTGAGTGAGAGACTGGACTAGAGAGAGCATTTCCAATAAGCGTTTCTGTCATTCTAAGAAACTTCATGAAATACAAGCTGTGGGAGTGGTTCTGGATGAGGAATATTCTGGACCAGAAGTGTCTCCCCTTCTGAAATAGAATATATATATTTTTTTTTTTCCCCAGGAGAGGGGGGAAAAAAAAAAGTCTTCATCTACTTTCCTCTATGTATGTTTAGATGCCCTTCTCATGAACAACCTACAATCTCTTAACTTTATCAGCATGTCCTCCATATTGACAATGGAGAATAATCTTTAGGCTTCACTAGCTCTCTCCAGCCCTTGCTTTATAAAACGTACAGTTAGAGGTCATTTTTCAGCTTCAAAATAGATCCTAAACTAGAAAGATCCTCAAAAAAACCCATTGTCCTATACCTGTTTACAGTACCTTATAACAGTGCAGTTATTAAAACAGACATTGCTAGTGAACTCAGCCTTACCCCAATTGCTGAGAAATGAAGATTCAGTTGGTTGGTCTGTCATTTACATGCCCTGACGCAAAGATAGGAGGCCATATATGGTAAAGGAATATGGACATTCAATTAATCCGGTCAGTGTTCCATCCTTGGCTTATACACATCAGAAGCAAAACATAGTAAAACAAATGTTCAGAGAACTAAATTATCAACACTTATGCTCATTTGCAAGGTCTATTGAAGCTTTCTTTGCAAGAAATTATGTTTGTGTTTGCAAAAAGTATTGGCTGTCTCCAAGCCTTTCTACAGATAATTTCATTTTTCTGCAGTCCCCACTGTTAAACTCTAAAATATTTTAACATAATATTTATTTTTAATACCAATACTGTGTCCTTCTCAAATATATTTACTTAAAGGTCTTTTTTGTATTTTGTCTTTTCAGGTACAATACTTGTTGCTTTTGTATGGGATGAAATCCTTCCTCGGATATCTTGAGATGTCCTGAAGATATTGAGATAATCTGAACTCCAGCAATACCACATTAAAAAACACTTTAAAAAAAAAAAAAGTTAAATTGCAGCCACCTGTGGAAAGGAAGCTTTCAGAAAACTGCTGACATTAATTTCTGTACCACCTTTCAGTGTGTTTTCAGATTTCATGTTTTGAAGTACATGACTTAGGACTTTGTATCGAAATTCTTATTTTGTAATAGCATATTGGGATGTTGAGAGTATTTGCCAACATTTTCAGTTAAGCCATATGAATGTGAAGAAAAGGACTGTTAAATATTGAAACTTTGTCACTTTAGCCATAAGTGCCACTTGCTTACCTTTACTACAAATGCATATAAAATTAATTTGAGAGAAATACAGTCTTTTCAGGTTTGATTTTATTGGTTTACTCCCATAAACAGCACTTGCAAAAAAGGAGCTGAAGATGTCATTCTTTTTATTGACCTCAGCATATCCTACTTGCAACATATGAGAGGAAGAAAGGCTGCACCACTCCCTAGAAGAATCTTCTCATCTCCATTGTAGAGGTATCCTACACCAAAAAAAAAAAAAAACTGTAGGACCAAAATTGTTTTAATAATACTCACTGCAGGTAAGTAACCCCTCTCTTCCTTTTGGGAAGACTGCCCCATCCTATCTCTCTGTAGCCTATTGACCGTTTATCTTAACGGAAAAGGCTATCTATTGATAAAATTCTATAGACTCACAAGTCAAAGGGCATTTTAGGGGCAATAACAATCTTATCCTGATTGCTACTGCCTTTTCAGAAATAGAATAGACAGTATATAGGGATGAACAATTCGGAACTTGATTTATCCTTGATTTTACATAGTAAGTCTTATCAGATATTTTTCTTGAAATAAATAAATTTGCTGGAGTAAGAGAAGAGATCTAAAACCATAGGAGAGCTACGTACCCACTCAAACTGGCACGAACATGCTCTTTATAGCCTTGGTTGAGGTGAAGAGCACGAGTAGCTACCAGTTCTCTGAAGTTCTGTTTGTAGCATGAGCTTTCTTGTCCTTTCTTTTCCTACATTGGTATATAGGTGACATTATGCCAAAATGTAATTTTCAAATTTAAGACTAAATTTAGTTTTTCACATCATAGTTACTAGGTTTGGAAGGAGATACGGTTAACAAGTTCTGTAAAATTCTCAGTAGTAGGACCCTCTACTCATTACGCGAGTCATCTCAGTACAGAACTAGTACTTTACAGCTTTGTTCACTTTGCACACCATGTTTTAAGAGGGGAGAGACTCAGACAAGGTTTTTGGCACAATAAAATAATGAACCAAGTCTTAAGCAGCTACTGTTCTCAGCTATGTTTTTTGCAAGAGTTTGAGAAGTACATGATTTCACGCGATTTTTTAATTTGCTTCACTAAAATCCTCTCGTTTTAATTTTTGGACATGTTTAGAATATACTGCAAAGTGAAATCAACTGTTTAGACATACTTTTCATACAACAGTTTTAGTCCACAGCTCTGTATTCAGTCACTTAAAAAAAACACACACACACAGATATTAGCCTGCTAATACATGAAAAGCTACTGTTGGCTTGATCACTAAGCAGCACTTTGTTACTATTGTGAGTAGGTGTACTGTAAGAAAGAAACTTATATTTGATCAAATTCTTCAGCACAAGGACTGAACAATATCACATTGCTAGCCTGATCTCATCCTTTAGCTGGCCTTATCTTCAGCCACTTAACCTAAAATGCAACCATGGAGGGCTGCTACAGCACAGAATAAAATTGATGCATACAACTTCTGAAAACCATATACTTGCAGTAAGACTGTTCAGACACTTGAACAGTCCAGTTCAAGTCCAGTGGTCTGTTACATGGTCCAGTTACAGCCTACAAATCTTTGATGAGCCAAATCTGCCCCCATTTCTAAAACAGACTCATTGACTTTTACCTGTCAGTGTCTTGATTTTTCTTCTTGTCAGTTTTACCTATTTTAAGATGAGCCATACCTTACGTATCCCCCCCTTCTCCCCCCCCCCCCCCCACCCCCCCCCCCCCGTCGACACGCGCCTTCC